CGGGCGGTCCCGCCGAAGCTCCTGGCGGCGTCCGCGGCTTTCTGACCGAAGCCGGAGGGGACCGGCCGCGGCCGCTGCCCGGGGCAGGCCGGACCGGTGATGGGCAGGTAAAGATGTTTGGGGAATAAGCATTTCCGGATTAGCTGTTGTAAAGCAACACTGCTCCAAAAATCACAAAACCCACGAAGCCTGTGACCCACCTTCGAGTAGCCCTGTAATGGCAAGGTGTGCGAGCCCGACGGCGCACGCGCAGGTGTGCACGCGCGCAGGTAAGCTCGCGCGCAGGTGTGCACGCGCGCAGGTAAGCTTGCGCGCAGGTGTGCCGCAGCCGCTTGCCCAGGACTGGCTGTGGGCGGGGCCGGACTCGTGTTTCAGGGCAGCTGCGTGGGGACCTTGGCAGGACACATGGTCAAGAAGAAACCGTGATGAGCTACAAGAAACGTCAGAGTCCTGCTGTACCTTAGGAAAAAATCTCAGACACAGAACCCCTCAAAACTTAATTTCTCTAAGAACCTTGAAGCTTTTTTCATCAAACATCTACCAGAAAAACCCAAGCATAAATACCTAATACTTAAAGATCTTGGTAAACGGAGTAAAGCTTTGACAAACTGCTTTTTTCCTCTACAGACAGATTGCACTGTGGAGTAGCCTCCCGTCTTGCACCAGAAACCTGATGTCCGTTGTCTTACAAGACTGCCTTTTTTTTTTTTTTAAGATTGATTGATTTGTGCATACAGGAAGTGGGGTGTAAGCCAGAGGTCGGGGGGGCGGGGAGCAGTGAGGATTCACCAGAGGCAGAGTGCAGAGCAGAACAGGCAGAGCTAGCCAAATACGCTGCTGAGGGGGCAGTGGGGAGACAGGAGGGATCTGCTGCGCCCTGTGGTCACTCCCTGGCCAGGATCAAACGTGATGCAGTGGCTCCAGCAGCCTCCTAGCGCCTCGCTGTAGCACCTTGGCCACCAGGGAGGGCCCAGGACAGCGTGTCTTGTGTTAAGATACCTCAGACCAGGACACCACTTCTGACTGGCAAGGATGGCCTGGGCCAGACAGCAGTTGGGGGGCTGTGAGTGCAGGCTCCTTTACACTGGATGCCGTCTAGAAAGCATGAGTCCAGTGGGAAAGCCTAGAAAATTCCATCTTGAGTGGTTAAAGCAAACATTTCCAAATGGAATAAATCAAAGCTGTGTTATTTAACAGGACATAAGCGAGGGAACAGTGCAACTCTGTGTTCATTCCATAGCAGACACCAGTGGACTCAGGCAAGGAAAAACAAAGTAATTCACAATTCGTCTTCTACAGCGTCAAAGTGATAGAAAGCAAAGACTGAGCAAGAAGAAAAAGCAGACAAGACAACTGAACAGATTGCATGTTTCCAAAACTGGATGCTTTCTCGGCAATGGAGGCCATTCGGAGGACTTGGAAAGTGTGAGGGTCTCACAGTCGGTGGGTGGAATGGAGCACATGCATTTCCAAGCGAGGAAATGCCACCGTGATGTGTAGGAAGAAGCTTTTTGTAGGAAACATACAGTAAAGTATTGGGTGATGAGGCATGAAGTTAGCAAGCTCGAATTCTCCGGGGGGTCGGGAAAAAAGGTTTCAGGTTTCATACTCCATAGTGCATGTTTAAGTTTGTTGTTACTTAAAAATCTTAATAAAGAGG